CTGCAAGAAGAGAATATATATCCTCAAAGAGATGGCTATCAGTTGGTGGAGCTTCATCAGATTAGACCTCTACAAATTCTAACTCACCAAATCAAAGACAGCATCTTTATAGTAGTTTGTTAAATGTATCACAAAATTCTAGTTTTCACTGGCTGTCCCTAACTGCAGAAACAAAGGGCTTTTCCATGCATGACCACAGACTGCCAGTAGTTTGATACATAATTATTTATAGCATTTTATTCCAAATACAAAAGAAAATTAAAATTGTTTTAACCAGAAATAAAATCAATTTAATTAACAGTTTAGACTTTTCTATGGTGTTCATTGGTATATCACAAACTATACCCAGTTTTTTACATTTTCAAAAGCATTCTTCAATTTTAACATCCAAAATAAGAAAATAAATTAGCTAATTATGTTATCACTGAATTTCAGTAGTAATTTTAACAGAATTGTTAATATTACTTTATGTATTTATTGTTTACAATGCAACACAGACTATGCAAGAAATATGTCTTCATTAAAATAGGTTGCAGAAACACAAATATTAGAAGCAGATGAATGGCTCCTGCCAACCCTCTTAATTTCCCCAAATATCTCTCCAATGGGTTGGGAAACCTTTGTTATCAGCTTTTGTGTCATAGCAAGTATATGAATGCAATATACATTTTATTTATTCCTTTAGTAAATCACCCTATCTGCCAGAGAGCCACATATTTATAATTGTAAATTAATCATTATAGCACTGTTGAAAAATACCAACAAAAGCCATTCAAACTTCCATAATAAACCATTCTAAAATGAAATAATAAAAATAATTCTTATAGAACAGTCATTATTAAGAAAAGTAATAAAAATATGGTATCATGTATTATTTATTGGACAATCCCCAGAAATGCTCTAGCTTTATTTACTTCTGGCACGCTGTAACAGATGAGGCAAAACTCACTTCCAAAAGTAGCCTAATCCATAAGAAAGGGGCTACAACAGGAGAATGCCTTCTAGCCTCAACTCCTTTCAAATGGGTTATAATAAGCACTTGGCCTGAGATGAGCATGTTGAAAAGGCAAAATCTTGGAGAAGATGGTAGTCCTGCAAATTTCTAAGCAGCAACCTATATAGGGACTTACAGACCAAAGCCAGAATTTTACATGCATTTAGAAACTTATTGGCAAACAATGCAGAATCTGTAGCAGAGGTGTGAAATATAGCTGTTGCGTAATGCCTGTTTCTAAACAGACAACTGCATTTTGTGCAAATTGTAGTTTCCAAGTAGTTTTCAGTTTCAAATAGTCTACATTGCAGTACATCCATTCCTATTTTGTGATTACCTTGGTTAGTGATTGTTTGCACATACAATGGTAATAAAAAAAATAATTTTCTAACCAGTGCATTTACAATCAAATTTTAAGTACTTGTCAACAATGCATGCTAGAGTAAAAGTAATGTGGGTACAGCTTCACAGGATAACTATATTTCAATGAAATGACAGTAATCAGCAATTGTTGCAGTCTCTGTTTCTCTCTCAGTCTAGTCTTGATCTTACTTGATGACCTAATCATTCAAATGAAACTCTAAATATGGCAGTGGGTGTAATTCAACTGCTTATTAATGAAGATGATTTACTGTTTTAAGAGCTTCATGCTGTGGTTAGGGCTGCAAATGGTATACCAGCTAAAACTGAGTAAATATCCTCCTGGCCATAGCCTCTGCCTTGCCCAACGAGGAGTAGCTATGAATTTATAAGCAGGCTACCAAGGACAGGCCTGCTTCCTGAAGGGTACTGCTTGTCCTTTGAGGAACAAGAATTATCAATGAATTAGCAGTAACTCCATTTTGCTTAGGTCCATTTTCAACCATTCAGACAACTACTGCTTTCAAGACAAGACTTGCCCAGCATCCCCAGTATAGCAGCTGGATATCAATAGCATACAAATGATATTAATCCCCAAACCGATGAATGATTTTTCCAGTAGTTTTTTTCACATGACATACAATGAGTGTGGAAGGATCAGACCTTATGGTACTTAAAGGTGAGAAACCCCCAACCTGACTTCTCCTATAACTGCAGATTGGAAGTGATATCTAAGCACTTATACTGAGTCTAACCCACTGACTCTGTTTAGTGAAATGCTGCAAGGATTGATATGCTGCAAGAATCCTCTCCTATTTAACATTTAAGCTGATGTCATCTGATGGGTTGGGTTGGACAGCTTCACTCTGGACCATCCAGTGATGATGTGGACATCCTGTCTATCTAGAGGCTGTGAGGGCCTGGATGGGCAACAACAGGTTTCAACTCAAGTGGCTTTGGGTTTTAGGACCTCTGGATTCTGGAATCATTCCACTTCTTGTTCTGGATGGGGTTTGCCCTACCCCAGATAGAACCTATGTATAATTTGGGAGTACTCTTGCATTTGAAGCTCTTATTCAAAGAGCTGATGTCAGCAATGGCTAGGAGAGTTTTAGAACAGCTATATGTTGTGACTGATTGTTCCTTGACCGGGCTCTGTTGAGTTACTCACGTTGTGATCAATTTCCAATTGGACTACTGCAATGGATGGGGCTGCCCTTTTAGAGCACTTAGAAGCTTCAGCTGGTGCAAAATACAGCAGCAAAGGCAGTTGTGCATGCTTTTCATTTAGCACTTGTGACATCTCTTTTCTGATGCTTCCGGGTTCAATTCAAGTTGCAGATTGTGATCTATAAAGCCCTACATGTCGTGGGGTTGGGTTACTTGTGGGATCATCTCACCTAAATTGTATCTACTTGTCCTGTGACATTTAGGAAGACAGATATGCTCCAGGTCTCATCTAAAAATGTCATCCGTCTGATCCCTGAAGGAGAACTTTTTGTATCATGGTGCCCAACCTCTGGAATGCCTTTCCTCTGGAAACTATACCTGCCCCAACCCTGTTGGATTTCCATAAGGCTCTTAAAACCTGGTTTTATTGCCAAGCTTGTGGCCTTTAATATATGATTGAGACTGTATCCTGAATATGTTGCGTACATTGCTGATTTTATTTTGGCTCTTACTCTATATTTATTATTTATTGTTGTGCTATGATGTTCTTATTTTGTTTTTATTCCATGTTAGCCATCTAGAGTAAAAGGTTTGAGAATTGAATAAATAAATTGAATGAATAAATAAATAAGCCTGAATCCTGATTGAAAGGGATTCTAATAATCTACACCTTTTAAGCAATTCTGTGTATTCATGGAGCCCTCAACTTACAACCAATTATTTACTGACTGTTCGAGGTCACAACATAAGTGACTTATGACCATTTTTCACACATACAACCATTGCAGCATCCCCACAGCCATGTGATCAAAATTTGGACACTTGGCAACTGGCATGTATTTATGATGGTTGCATGTCTTGGAGTTATCTGATCACCTTTTGCAACACTTTGATAAGCAAAGTCAATGGGGAATCCAGATTAATTAAACAACTGTGTTACTAACTTAACAACTATAGTGACTCACTTAATAATTGTGGCAAGGAAAGATCATAAAATGGGGCAAAATTCACTTAATAACTATGTTGCTTAGCAACAGAAATTTTGGGTTTAATTGTGGTTGTAAGTCGAGAACTATCTATATTATGGTCATGGTGCCATTATAACATTCTTATTTACAAAAGAACATATATACTTTAATTTTTTTATAAATTAAAAATCCAATTTTCTTATAATTATTTATTTCTAATGAAAATGTTTATATTTTATATGATGTAACATTTAACAGTTGTAAACATCTTCAAACAAAAAAGACAAAGTAAAATGCAAAGTGAGTTTAATGGTTCTCTGAGGTTATCTATCTCAGGGAATTGCATTATACCACTGTAATATACAAAACAAATGAAAAATCTCAAAAAATGCATGGGAAACAATCCATGTTAATAAATGGACAATCATTTGACAGGGAGAGTATAAGGTGTCCTGCCTTAAGAAGGGAGTTAAACTACTGTAGTTAAACTCCTAGGCCCTTTCCAGCTCTATAGTCTTTTGTAATATACACAATGGCTCTATGTGATTTTTAAGTAGTTTTTTAAAATGTCTTTATAGACAGAGTCTATATTATGACCCTTACCCTAACCACTTTTATTTTAATTAAGAGATTAAAAGTTTATGTTGAGGGATAATCTTGTATTTAAAATATCTGGAAGCTCTTTTTCAGGGATAAATTGTACTTCTTACACTGTTAGTGCATAGGAATAGTGTTCTTCACTTAAAGAAGTTTTAAAAACATTCACTGAACTTAAAACTTTTTAAAAGTTTGGCTCACATTCAGAATGAGTTTAAGACTATTTAGCAGCCAGGTACTCAATCCCTTTTCCATTTAGCTAGGAGTGTATTTTAAATAAAATATGAATAAAATTGATTTATCACTCTGTTACTCAATTATATCTGTGGTTCTGAGAAAGTGATTTAGGCTAGAAATGTGATGTTACCTACCCAGCAGTTTATAATGTGGGTTATTTATTCATTTTTAACTAGGCGAAACAATCAAGTTTTGATATAACATTCTTTGGCTGTTCATAGTAGCATGGAATAATCATTTTTCTCCAACATTCATATATAAACTCTATCCCAGAGATTTCTGAACAATTAATATATATTTTAGAATCTGCAGCTTAATTTATGTTATCATCTATAACTGATTGACCAGGTAGAGTATCAAAACGTGCCTCATAAATTTTAGCCGTGATATATACATACATTATTCATACATTATTTTCACTGTTAGAATATTTATATGGCTCCTATAGTACAACAATCCTGCATAGTCCAAATTCCTATGAATTGAATAAAAGAAATAAGCATTTGCAATCCTCTAAAAGACAGAAGTAATGCCATTTTAAAGATAAAATTCTAACCTACATTTCCAGAGCTCTGGAAATAAGACAAATTAAAATTCAAATGTTTTTAAAATATACAACTAGTTTCTTTTTTTTAACTTCTTACAATTTCTTTTAATTTAAAATGCTCACTTACTTCTCTCCAGGGTCCCTTTTGGTGGGAGTTGTGGCAACTGTCTACCCCTGCGTCCTGCCACTGGAGTACTTGATGGGCTTGTTTGGACTGACCCCGAATGAGCATGTGACCTACAGGACACATCAACAGAAACCATCAATTGCAACATATATTTATCCTTACATAGTTTGAGAACAAAGGAATGATTATTAATGGCTTTTGTGCATGTTGAACTTTAATTGAAATGATGACAGTTCAACCTTAAAGATTTTAAAAAGCGTAATTACCAATAAGATGGGGAACAATATTGAAAAGATGGCACAGAATATGTTTTGTAACTGCATCTGTTAACCATATAAAGAAATATATGTAGAGGTATATGCATACTGAGACATACTGAAAGAAAGTAAAAAAAAAAAGTATATGTATAAATATGACTATTTCCATGTTCAACTAACAAACATTTTAAATTCCAACTAATATTGAGATGATTTAGACAGCCATGAATTTGATGACAGGCAATAAAACAAAAGTATATTTCAATGAGTGAAATGAAATAATAACATCATTGTTACTGATTCTTATAATTCACTATAGAAAAGCAAAGAAGCCAGACAATAAACTGATTTGGACAAAATTAGATTAACCTTCTCCAACTTCCATTATTTATATATATTTAAAAACTAAATAAATCAATACTGTGTAATCATGAATAAAATACATCACAAAAACAAGACAAATGCAAAACATGCACACAGCAAATAAGAGAAAACAGTGATTAATATATCAAATTAGTACAAATTTAAGAAACTATTTTTAAAATATCATTTGATGTTATGATTATTATTCCATAAGTGATGTCTGATGATCACATTTAATTACTTTTTCTGTAAGAGAAATACATGAGAAATTATGAAGTGTTTGAGAGTAAGAAATCACGCAGGATTCCTAATAAATGAGAAATCACAAACAAATGTAAGTAATTGTTATTAATTATTGTTAGTAAACAAATTACAATGGCAGCCACACCATTATATCCCAATGGAATATAAATAGTGTGTTGACGTTGGCAGGGTTAGTATCTACAACTACTGGTGATCAGCCAATGATGAAAGGAAATACTATTGAAGTTTTTGAAAAATAAAAAAGTGAGCTGGTGGGGCAGGATTAATCCGTCTGTTTCACCTCGATAATGCAGGTGAGGGAGGGGCAGATCTTCCAGTCATTAATGAAGGCATCGATCTCATGAGGTTTGACTCAGGACGCTCAGTGGATCGGGAGCGGGGGCTGGGCCGCTCTAGCACTGGACGTTGTTCTGTTGATCTGGATCTTTGATATGGTAGTCTAGGTTCCCAATTCCTGCAATGTTAGTCAAAAAGCAGCTCAATTGACTTTTATCTGCGGTTATGCATTATGCTGCAGCACATTGGATTTGGAGCTATCCAACATCAGCTAATTTTAATAACCTTTTAAAGTTTTTCTTCTTGCTAATATTTAGTGGGTATAAAGAGGTATACTTCCTTAAAATGGTCATGTGAAGAAAATTATTTAGACAGTTTAATAATGCAGTGGAATAAAATCTGTTAATTTTGCATTAAAATCACATTACTATTTTGGGAAAATTTAAAAGAAAAGAAGCAGTTCTCTAGAAATATTAAACAGATTAATATTTTAAAAAATCATATATTCCATTATCCATCAGCAATTATTTATGGTGGTTCATTTCAACAGGATCACTAAATTTGAACAAAGGATTTTTAAAAACCTGAATAACATTGCTCATTTACTGTGTATTGGTTTAACTGTCAGGTATAACTATAACAAGAATTAAACAATTTTAAATGAGAACGTATTTGTTATTGAACAAAGTATTTGACATATGCACATATGGCATAAGCTGTACTTTTGTGCTAAAAAGATTCACATCAGATTCAAGGACATCCAAGAAACCAAATGGAATAATATGAAAAATGTTCAAACTATTTTCCAAAATTACTGTAGCAGAAATTATTTTTAGCTAATGGCTACAAACTGGTTCTATAATATTATAGGATTTTTACAGTGTGTTATTAAAAGATTCTTACTGTCTGTCAATAAAGATAACATATTGACTGAGAAAACAAAGACTGTCATACATTTATTTTAACTCATGAACTTAGCTTTAACTGAACATTTAAAGTTTTATCTATACAGAAAACAAAACTGAAATTTAGTATTAAAGAGAGCAAAATAACACTAGATAGTTGTATTACAAAGAGGTTATAAAATTACAAAACGTGTTTCTAAAACTATCCTTTAGTATAGCATTGATTTGAATTTTTCATAACTTGTATTTTTTTTCCAGTGAAGTATCATCTGGAGAAACTCAATGCAGGGGGGGAAAATGTCTAATTCAATAAACAAAATGTATTTAGGTTTGATTAAAGCAACTGAAAAATATACAATATTATTGCTTATTTATTTATTGTCAAGGAGAAAAAAAGTGAGAGTCAAATATATACAGATGTGATACACATTCATTTAAAAAAAAAAACCATGATAAAATAATATAGAAGAGACCCTAGAGTCAAATTCTTGCCTGCTGATGCAAATTTCAACAGAACCAAATGCAGCTATTTTCATGAAGAACTGATCCTATATATTACAAATAGTCCTTGACTTACAACCATTCCTTTAGTAACCATTTGAATGGCCCTGAAAATAGTGACAGAATCAGTCCTTTCTCTTACAATTGCCATAGCATCCCCACAGTCACATGATCTAAATTTGGGCGCTTGGCAATCAATATGAATTTACAATGGTTGCAGCATCCCAGGGTCATTTTATTGCCATTTGCAACCTTCCAGCTGGCTTCCAACAAACAAAGCCAATGAGGAAGTTGGGTTTCCTTAATGACCACATGATTTGATTAACAAGTGCAGTGATTTGCTTAACCATGGCAAAAAGTAAAAAACAAACAACCAGGCACGACTCACTTAAGAACTATCTTGCTTAGCAACAGAAATTCTGGTTCCAATTGGGGCCACAAGTTGACGACTACCTATACTTCACCTTAAAGGTAAAGGTTCCCCTTGCACATACATGCTAGTCATTTCCAGCTCTAGGGGGCAGTGCTCATCTCCATTACAAAGCCAAAGAGCCAGCACTATCCAAAGACGTCACCGTGGTCCTGTGGCCAGCAGGACTAAATGGCAAAGGCACACGGAATGCTGTTACCTTCCCACCAAAGTGGTCACTATTTTTCTACTTGCATTTTTTACATGCTTTTGAACTGCTAGGTTGGCAGAAGCTGGGACAAGTAATGGGAGCTCACTCCTTTGTGTGGTGCTAGGGATTTGAACTGCCAAACTGTCAACCTTTCTGATCGACAAGTTCAGCATCTTAGCCACTGAGCCACCATGTCCCTTCTTCACCTTAAGGCTTCACCTTAAGTTCTACTAAAACAGTCAGTAAAAAGATGTAATAAGGAGTGCTAGATATAATAAAAAGAATAGTGCAGCAATATGCTAGAAGAACTGTATTTTGCTTCAAGCATTTTAGAAAGTAAGACATCAAATCTTGCTAAATAAAGGTTTACCAATGAGGAACAGACAGCGATATTGATATAGATAACATAGATATAAATATATATAGAACAGCTCTTTATTGCAAAAGTTCAACACTTTCAATCTATCTCTTTGCAAATCCAAATCAACAACTGATTAATGTTCCTTCCATTTGATTGTACAGTAGAATCTCTGGTCACGAATGCTTCTGACCACTACCAAATCAGGTTCCGACCAAAAAATTTATATATATTTTTTCACGGCCAATTTCCCCTTTCTGCGCCATTTTTGTTTGTTTGTTTGTAAGTGCCAAATTTTCAAAATTAGATTTGGATCACGATCTAATCACATTGCAACCAAATTTATGGAACAAATTATGGTCATGACCAGAGGTTCCTACTATACATGAAGGCCTTGCAGAAAAGATCAAAACAATTGTTTCACTTTAAGCTCCAAACAGGCAGGCATGTTTGATCATAAGATCAGCAAAAAAGAGCTAAGTATGAGGAAGGAAGCCCATCAGGAAGAATCAGGCTTTTAAAGACAGATTTCAGTCTGACAACAGATTACCTTCCTACCAATAAAATGATTGGGAGTTTTACTGGTAAAAGATTTGGAATGCCTATATTCTGAATCCCTGTATTCATAAAATAGTTTAAGCACCCTAAACTGCATGAGTTGAATTGTATAGTTCTTGACATGCCAATATCAAAGGTGTATAAGGAAGGAGAGATACCCCTGCCACAAGCACAGGAGAACACTATAAAAGAATTTTGAACATTTCCTTAACATGGGAGGACGGAATATATTTAATTATAATTTATTTATTTTCATCCTGACTTTATTATTTTTATAAAACAACTCAAAGTGGTGAACATACCTAATACTCTCTCCTCTTTCATTCTCTTCCAACAAGTAAGATGGACTTACTTGTAAGATGAAGTAAGATGGACTGAGAGAGTGTGATTGGCCCAAAATTACCTAGCCGACTTTTATGCCTAAGGTAGTACTAGAATCCACAGGTTTCTAACCTTCAACCACTACTAGACCAACTGATTCTATTCAGTTGCAAATCTGAGCAAGAATGTGGCAAGGCTACCCAGCAGCAAATTACCAAATGGCAGGTAGTTCCCTGAATGTAGGCATTTCAATTTCTGCAAATACTTCAAATACTAAAAATAGCTTCAAACACTATTGTTTCATATTTTAACTAGAACAGTTTGCAAATGAAAAAGTGTATGAGTCTTGAATTATCCTTAGACAAATTTGCAAAGATTACCTCATATTTTCCTCTGAATCTATATGCACATTTTCTGAATGGAAAGCTTGATCTGCCAATATATCCATTGTTTCACTTCTTTAACACCAAAATTGAAAAGTAACCTTAACTTGCAATTGGTTGACTAGCTGCAATGCAGTTTAGTGAAAAAAAAGTTAAAGTGTCTATCAGGGTCCCCAAACATTTTAAAATTTATCTGAAAGAATGTAATATAAATAATAGAAAAAAGTTGATTTTACGATCTATCTGTTAAGGAGCTTAATATACAAAAAGAGGTCCCAATTTCAGAAAGGAAGACACCCATATAAAGATCAGAGAAATTTTATTTTCTCCGTTGTAACCAGCTAAACCATTTTGGAGTAGACAATCTCATTTAAAATATTTTGCATTCTTTTTAATTTCTAATCTATTGCAATTACTTTTTGAATTTTAAAAACTTCCGGAGAAAATTATTGTTTCACCTTATATTGTTGAAATGCTTTCCAACAATATAAACTGAATTTAAATCCTACCAATTCATTCATAATTTATAATTTGACTAATGACTGAAAGCTATATAAGAATAAAAACATAAAGTAGTTACAGTTAATTTTTTGCATTATTAAAATTGCTTACACATTCAATTTTCATTGGTTGGTTGAAGATCTATATAATAACAGGAAAATAGTATTGTACATATCTACACTTTTTAATTGAGCATATAAAATATTTATAGTTTTAATGGACTAAAAGTCATTTGGAACTTAGGATTTAGGCATTCACCAAGTCCTTCAAAAGAACTAAATGACATTAGTTAAAAAATTCTTTTAGCTAAAATGTCTCATGATAAGAAATGAATTTGCAAAATTACTTTGCTAATGTTGAAATAAAACAGTGGAGATTATCTTGAGCTTTATTTATATTATACATAAGTAGAAGATTGCAGACAGTAAAACAAAGTTGAATTCATCAAGGCCAGAGTTTTTAAAGTATAGACTCTTAAACTAAACAAACAGGAACCACAAAGATGAAACAATTCATTGCTTTCAAAAAATATTTATCTGCCTTTCTTTTGTACTACATATTGATTTCAGTGCATGATACGTAGTATATGTTATGTTCAGATTAAACAATAAAAGCAATGAATGTCAAACAAAAACATTAAAATGCAGCAAATTATGGTGCATTTTAATAATCACATACAGTGTTCTCTTTTTCTAGAGACAATGGAAACACAGAAATTATGCTTAGGAGTCACAAACTTAATCTAACCCAAATACTTTTTATTGGGAATACCTGTCAGTATCTGTGGAAGACTGGTGGATTTCAATCCTTGGACATGCTATTCTTCTATTAGCTATTGGAATTTTGCTGTTTGGTCACAGATATAAGATAACCTGTTAGCACAATATTAACAACTACTGCTTTAAACAAATTTCTAAAGTTAACCAACTGTTACGCTGCAATAGCAATAGCACTTAGACTTATCTACCGCTACATACTGATTTACAGCATTCTCTGAGTGGCTTACAAATGTCAGCATATTGCCTCCAGCAATCTGGGTCCTCATTTTACTGACCTCAGAAGGATGGAAGGCTGAGTCAACCTTGGGCTGGTTAGGATCAAACTCCTGGCAGTGGGCAGAATTAGCATGAAATGCTGCATTCTAATCACTGCACCACCATGGCTCAGAAACAAAGTTAAAATAATACAATATTGTATAACTTGGCTGAATTACGTTTAAAATAAGAGTTACCAATTAAAGTTTATACTGTTAATTCAAATACCAAAAATTTACACACACACGCACACACACACAGTACTTATTTTAAAATCTGGTGAAATATCCTAGCACAGAGTCACAAAAAATACACATATAATTTCTTCCATATATAAAAATAAAATATCAAACGGCATATGTTGCTACAGAACTTCACTACACCTGCAGAGGATTCTATCTTTACTGCCATGCCTGTGTCAGGGTTGTTAAGCAAATATTAAAGAAAATAAGAAAGTCTGTTTCAAAATATGTAGCAAAAATTTATGAATTTGAAGCAAATAACAATTATAAAAATATTTTCCTTTTACAGCAACTTTGTATCAAATTAATATAGTCTGTTAGGAATCTAGAGATAGAAAAATCAAAATCTAGATTTTAGAATCTTTGAAAATTTACATTAACAAACACTTTAATATTTAGCTTAATCTTATTTAGTTAGATTTTAAAAAAAATATGATACATCCTAACATCAGATCTCTTTCCTTTACATAATTTTATATTCTTTATATAATGTAAAATCTGAGCATAGTATGCAAGGCACCTAAAATATCAGAGTACATAAAAATCTTATCTCTTGTATATCTCACCATATTTGACAATTCTTTAACACTATAATTCCTCTATTATGCTTCAATATATTTTAATCCATTAGTGCAGTGGTCCCCAACCTTTTTTGTACCAGGGACCAGTTTCAAGCACAAACACTTTTTCAAGGACCGGGGGGGAGGGGAGAGTCCGAGTTTGGTGGTTTGCTTGCAGACGTTTCATTACCTGACTAGGTAACATCTGATGTTGTTACCTAGTCGGGTAATAAACGTCTGCCAGCAAATCACCAAGTTCAGGGAGCGCCTCGGCCCTGCCTCCCTCAGCCCCATCCCTCAGGTGTCTCCCTCCCTCCCTCAGGTGTCTGCCTCGTTCCTCTCTCAGTCGCTCTCTCGCTGCTCCACCAGCCCAGGAAGAAACTGCTTCAAAGAAGCCGGGGGGGTGGCTTTTCCTGTCACCGCAGCTCCTCCGAAGTGCCCATTTACCCCCACCCCACCCGCCCAGGCGCGGTTCAATCCACAGTGCTCTGTTCTGCCTGCCTGCCTGCCTTCTTCGTTTCGGAGCAGCTTCGGCTGATAAAAAGAGGCGAATAGTTATTATTCTCAGCCGAAGCTGCTCCCAAACAACCAGACAGGCAGAACGGGGCACTGAATTGAACCGCGGGCGGGCGGGCGGGCGGGGTGGGGGTGAACGGGCGCTTCGGAGGAGTTGCGGCAACAGGAAAAGCCACCACCCCCCGGCTTCTTTGAAGCAGTTTCTTCCTGGGCTGGTGGAGCAGCAAGAGAGCGACTGAGAGAGGAATGAGGTGGGAGGAAACCGAAGCCGCTGAGCCAGAGAGCAGGACAGGCTTCGGTTGCTTCCTCCCTCCCCTTCTTTCATTTGTGTCCTTGATCCCCGATCCCAGCAGCATTCACCGAAGGCGAAGAAAGCCGCCATTTTTTTATTTATTTTTCTTTGCGGCCCGGTACAGAGTGCTCCACGGACCAGTACCAGTCCGCGGCCCAGTGGTTGAGGACCCCTGCATTAGTGTACTTTTAATCCAAGTACTTTCATGTATAGTCTGTAGCATCTACAAACACTAAAATAAAGTAGGAAATTGCCATCTATATAATAACATGATTTACTTTGTCCAAAAATGTGTTTTTCGCCATTGTTAGTTTTTGCACAAAGTACATGCAGTTTTGGGTCTTGGTAAATAAATACAATTGGCTTTATTTATACCTTAGTACCAAAAAAAATGGAGGCAAAATGCGGACCATTTGAAGACAAGATGGATGTTTCAGCAAGTTTGTGGAAGTACAAAGCTTCTATTTAAAAAAAACTACATAAAACCTATTGATTCAATTTAATAGATCTGGGGGTTTGGGGGAGGAGTGCCCTTTGAGGTAGTTTGGACTCCTCGTGATTGCTTGGACTAGTCCCTGCAGTTATCTCAGCATGTTTCAAAAATATTTTCTAAGTACAGGTAGTCCTTGACTTACAATGGCAATTGGGACCATAATTTCCATTGTTAAACAATGTATCACTTAATGATGGCAATTCCTGCAGTCCTTGCAGCAATCATTAACCAAACCCCGTTATCATTAGGTGAGGCAACTTCCTGCCAGATTCCCACAACCAAAGTCAATAGGAAGCTAGCGAAAAGTTGCAAGTCCCAGATGAGCAGGCAGGCAAGTGGCTAATGCCAGGTGAAGCAGGAAGTGAGGAGAGTGTGTAGAGTGAGAGGAAGGGTCAAGGAGATACAAGAGTAATGAATCACAGGTCAGGTCAGGTCAGGTGCACAGGATTTCAGAGGTGTATGAGGAGCGCAGCACACGTTGGGAGGGGATGCAAAGGTTTGAGAGGTCTAGCACTGGTTGGGGAGGGTCCACGAGTGGCTGGCGCAATGCAAGCAAAGAAGAGGTCAGGGAGCATGTGTAGGTGGGTGAGATTAAGCCCAGCACTTTGCAGTCATTCTTCCTGGCTTCATCATTTACTTTCTGCATAAGCCAGCAAGGAAGGTTGCAAATGACAATCAGGCAATCACATGGAACAGCAAGTAGTTGTAAGTGAAAAACCAGTTGTCAAGCCCCCAGATCACAATCATATGACCATGGGAGGGGCGATGGTGATGGGGCAGCCTGAACCTGGAGGATGGGTTGTAACCACCATACATTCAGCGCTGTCCTAAGTTTGAATGGTTGTCGAAGAATGATCATAGGTGAAGTATTGTCTGTATTCAGAAGTGGTACAAGCACGCTGTATTCTATTCAATAAAGTACTCTGGTGTTTTAAACTATAGTTATTTAAGTTTTGAAGCACTTCTTCCAATACATTTTTATGTATTTTTTAAAGTTTTTCTTTCGTTCTTTCTATCCATAATAAATCAATGAAATAATTATGTTATTGGCATATGTCACCTAATTTTATGTACCCCTATTTGGGGTGTTTTCACTATCAGATGTATTGATAGGTGAGCTCTATTAACAAATACAAGGGTTGCAGATTAGATTTGGAGGTAAATAAATCTGTCCATGACAGAATTAACAAAATAACAGAGTTGGAAGGGATGTTAGACGTCTTCTAGTCCATGAAGTTGAGAAATGTTTGGAAGGTCTCTATTTACTTCACTTCCTGAAATCATACCAGAAATTGGGGGGTTTTTTTCCTTCATTTTTTTTTAGATGGTAAGTTTGTCACCCGATCTTTTTTCCACTGTTTTAATCTAAGCCACTAAGATTCTTTTAGGCTCTTATAGAAGAATAAAAATGCCTAGCAAATCCCTTTCTCAAAACATGAAATATTTTTAATACTTCCACTGAAAAATCTATTAATCTCTATGAGTGGGTTTATAGCCTTCATGGAATTCCTTCTCAATAGATGAATCCATTCACTGATAATTTTAATATGACACCCTGATACTCAAATGCAATTAAAATGGTAACTAGACAGAGGTGATCAATCGTTTTGTAGCCAAGGCCTTAATTTTTTTTGTGTGTGTGTATGTTTTCGTTTTAAATAAACTTTATTAAATGTTAAAAAAAATATACAAAACATTGCATTAAAAATGAAACCAAAAACAGAACATATACATTACAAATTACTTAGATGGTGCTTCTTATCAAACAATATTCTAATACTTATTTCATATATCTGGTTAATGCTTCTATTATAACCTCTTTATATTTTTCCTTCCTTATCTATTTACTCGCTGGTTTCTATTATTTATCCAATTATACCAATTTTCCCAGACTGTATAATATTTTGAGTCTTCCTTTTCTTTTAGTTTTAGGGTACGTTTGTCCATCTCAGCGCAATCGTAAACTTTTTGGATTATCAAGTTTTCTACTGGCATCTGATCATCCTTCCAGTATTGTACAAGGGCTATTGTACTGCTAGCCGCAGTAATTATATGTAAAATTAAATATTTTATTTCTTCTGCGTATTCATCTTTTATTATTCCCAATAAGAAAATTTCTGCCTTAAATTCTAATTGAATGTTCGTAATTTCTCTTATCCATATTCGTATTTTTGTCCAATACTTTTTACTCTTCAGGCAGCCTTAATTCATTTTGGATGGCCAGGAGTTTCTTTTTTTTCCAATGCCAATGTACTAATTAGATTAGTATATAATCTATAATATTATAGATTTCATTAGGTTCCTACCTTGAAATGGCAGGAAACTATGTAATTATTTTTCAGTAACCATAAGAGGAGAGGACGTCTAAGATTGCTAAAGGGAACCTGAGGGCTACATGCATCCCTTTGGATCTATAACTGAAGAATAACTGTATTTGTAAAAATATTATTAAAATCTAATGCTCATAGAATTGGGTCTTAAAGGGAAAGAAATAAAACATAAACTAAAATAATACTCTATTTAAATTCTAAATACAAATCCTATATTACAGAATCATAATACTTTACTCTTTACTCACCTGTGATTTTCAGCTGTACCATTGACTACATGATCTGCCCATGAACTTGCACCATTGTAATACCTTTGCAATGCAGTTAAAATAAAGACAAGTTATAAGTATGAAATTATTTTCCAAACAATTTTTCTCATGAGATGTATTTTTATCTCAGTAATCAGGCAAGAATCTCAAATGTTCTCCTTATATCCTTTTCACTACATCTTGAAATACATATGGAAAATCAAATCTTTTGAAAAAATTAAAGTATTTTATTCTTTAAAAGTATTACCTTTTGGTCAGGGAATTTAACTGTCTGATACGTAATTGTTTCAAATATAATATAATATTATAATAAAATATAATAAATTTATTAATTGTAAGCCACTAGAGTCTCTTTGCAGAGTGTAAAATTTTGTAAGTAAATAAATAAATATGTCAGGTCTTGATAGAAATATTACATGACACGATATTTATTTGACACAGCATTTGGTCCAAAGAACACTCATTTTCTTTTCAGGTACAATCTGCACGGCCTAACAATCATCACAATCTTATTTTGCATCTGATTGTGAGTATACTATAGCTGGCACAAGAACTATATTATTTATAGTACCTGTTGCTGGAAATACAGTAAAGCCTTCCCATCAACAGAACAACTCTGAATACAAACCTCATATTTTGTCTAGGTAAATTTATTTATTAAACAAATTTGCCCAATAAATCTGATAGTGATAAGCACACTGTTATAAATAATAGCAGCAACAAGAATAGTGAAATTATAAAATTGCCAATATCTATATAAAAAGTAAACCATAGTGAAACTACTAGAACAGATATTAAATATATGACAGGTAGGCTTTATATAGCATCCTTAGCCATTTTTAAGACCACCAAATATAATGAATTATGTTAGTCTTAGAGATAAGCAAACAGTTCCACTTTAATATTAAATAGATTGTTCAAGCTCATCAGAAGTGTCCCAATCTTATAGAAAGTATTCCACTCACAAAAAAGCATTTCAAGATCAGATACATTTGAAATAGTTACAAAATCATTGAAAAGTCAAAGCAGCCTGTTTTTAGCTCAATTTGGTTTTAATGCAAAACATTTTGCACACTTCTGATTAGCCTTAATCATCCTGAAAGTACATGTTCTTCTACCATATCTACAGTATATTAAACCAAATTAAGATTCACAACATCTACAAGCGGTCTGAAGTTGATAATCCCTACTCTATAAGCCCATGTCTACTACCTTCTTCAAAATTCTTAAATATATGTATTAATTATACATCTATCTATCTATAAGTAAATACCTTTCGAGAGCAGGGGAAATAAACGTGTCATCAACATATGTATTAGGCTCTCTTCCCTCCTTCCTACTCCTCCTGAACATAAAATAAACAGTAAAGATATTTTAGAATGGCCTTGCATACTTCTGCTGATGCATGATGTTGTCCAGCAAATATCAAGCTACTTTTAGCACAATACAAAGTAAAAATAACTTGTGTCCTGAAAACAGTTATTTTCCAAATAATTCCATATTCAGTCAAGACTCACGTTCCTGTGATGATCTTACATTCAACAACTATGTTAAGACATTCTCTACCTCAACTGACAAAAGAAATGATGGCAAGACTTTCATTCCATAAATTCAGTCATGTGAACTGGCCTATTACTGAAGTATGTGCAGAGTCAACATTATGTAGTGGAACATATCCAACATAGTGAAATCAGGACATGAGGTAAATATGAACACTTATCTCTGAATGTAGACTGGTGGTAGATTCACCAGGTCAAGCCAGAATCAGGACATGAGGTAAATATGAACACTTATCTCTGAATGTAGACTGGTGGTAGATTCACCAGGTCAAGCCAATTTTTGTAAACTTTTAAAGATTTGGGAAAATGAAATATTCATTCCCAACAATTCAAGTAATGTGTTCTTGTTCCAAGCCTCTCACTAAAATGTTTAGCTTAGTTCCTTTTTATGTTTAGCTATTAAGTCAGTCAACCTTGAGGAGCTATGAGAGAGGGTGGGATGAAGGCAACATTAAAATGCTACTGCACATAATATTCAATATTACTTATTAAAGATGTTATATTTCCCGCCCAAATTAAATAATACAATTGACCAAAACAGAATGTGTTATAGCACAAAGGGGAGTGTGCATACCTTTTTCAAAACATTATGTGGCTTAAAAGTAGTATATAAAAAATATGAATATGGGAATGATGGATAATAGGTATAATACTAACCAACATGATGTTCTTTCAGCTGAGTGTTGTCTAAGTTACATTCTTACTTGTGGCCAAAAATGAGGCCATGATCATTTATAATTTAATGATTTTTAATTTAGATTTCAGAAATTACTCTATATGGAACTGCCCTTGAACAATATTCTGTAAGTTCAGCTAATGCAAATGTTCCAAGTAGACTTTTATCTGTGATGCCCTTTCAGGTGCAGAACAACTTAAATGCTTTGTTTCTGACTAGATCCAAGGTGCTTATTTAGTTGTATAAATCCATAAAAAAGTTACATCCAAGCTATCTAAAAGTTGACTTCTTCATTTCAACTTGTAGATAATTTCTGATCACACCAGAATTACAACAACCATCAGCTACGTAAATTATTTATTTATTATATGTATAATAAATTAGATTTCATTGTTTGTGTGTGAAAATACTACTGAAGCTTACATTAGATTTTTATTTCTTTTATCAAAATGGGGAGGAAACCATTACCCTGGGAAAGTTTGGGGCTGCAAATGAGAAATCAAAGGGCTGTAGAATATTCATTCCCATTCTATATCTACAGTATATTAAGTTTCAGTTGGCTTTCTGAAAGCCATCAGGATCAATGCTAGCTCTATCTTGTGAAGGATCATTCCAACAACAGATGCTACAACAGAAAAGGCAGTTCCCCAGATTCCATCAGATGACATGAAGTATGTCCATCCTAGAGCATGTGGGACAGGTAGATATCATTTGTGAGAAGCAGTCTCAGTAACAATATAATCCTGTTCCATGTAGGGCTTTATATATGATAACTATCATTTGTAATTGCACTCAGAAGCCAACAAGGAAGCCAATGCAGCTTGGAAATAAGGTTAGTTACATGAGCATGCACTGATGTGCCCATGATTTCCTGCACTGCAGCATTCTAAGCTTATTATAGCTTCTGTATGATCTTCAACTGCATCCCATGTAGCCATGTTGAACTAGTCCAGCTGGAAAATGACTAGGACATGAATGACAGAAATGAAGACCTGCTGATCCAGGAACAGGTACAACTTGCACACAATATGGTATTATCCTGGCTACAAGTGCCAGCTGGACTTGCAGACTGCAGACTGAGTGGGACAGTACAATCCCATTCAGAATCAAAGATAGAAATTATCTAGTTCCCAGATCAGAGGAATTCAAAACCCAAAATATTATTTTCGATATTGAATAGTAAATAGTGTGCCATGAATTCTACAAATATCACCCTCAAAAGTTTAAGTGCTTCAGATATTTGTATCAAATAGTATTTTCTCTTCACTTTTTGGAACTCATGTTCATTTAATTCCACACCTCTTTCAAAATAGCAGTGACAGCTTTTTACACATCAGTATATTATGCATTTATGCCTAATGTCATAACTAATGATACTTGGTATCTGTTATACCTCTCAAACTCATAGTAAGCACCCTCAGAATAGGTACGGCACATCCTATGCGATCGAAGTAATCTGATTGCATCTTCACAAAAGTTAGGATACAATGAATGCTCCTTGCTGCCAAAACATAAGCAATGAAACATGAAGCTAAATTAAGAAACAGAGAATACAGGCATGAAGGTATACATGAATGATAGAAGAAAATAAAAGGGTATGAAAAATGTATTCATTAATTCGTGTATTTTAATTTATAAACAGTGTGGATCAAAATAAGAGTTTAAGCATCAACACGTTTTGGACTGAACATTTAAAAAGGACAGTATATTTGAGCACTTCTGAATTTTATGTGAAGTAGCCTAAGAGACAGCTACAAGAAACTTTATTGATTATCCAATGAAATTTGTATGAGGAAAGTAAAGTTTCCTTCAAATATAATTAATATGCAATCAATAGGGCAAAAAACCCAGCCAACGACATAAATGGCTCTTCAATAGCATCATTAAGGTAATTCTGATACAACATTTCCCAATCATACAAGAGTTGCTTTCCTGTAATAAGGAAACATATATCTTCAGCTAAAATTCATTACTCCCAGACATATTCTATATTATTAATGCTAGAAACTGGTAGGAAGAAAGAAATGTTTGGCTGAAATCTGAATGGTTTCTCCCTTAATTAGCAGCCAAAGTATAGGAGAACCCCTTGTTAAGACAAGATCTCCAAACTTTGGGGCACAATTTTAAGTTTGTGAAATTATTATAGCTATCATAATATAACTATCTAGTTCAGGTATTGGCAATATTTTTATGCAGTGATATGGGATCTCATATAATGATACAGACTGCAAAAAATTAAACAAACTCTGACGAGATTTGGTCATCCTTAATTCCTGACATTTTATGTATTTATACAAAATTCTTGGTGATCTCAAATGACAACCCCAATCTCTTATGATTTAAAAATCTGGCAAGTGTTAGGCTATTTTTTAAAATAACATTTGATTGCATTAAATTACAGATACTGTAAATATACAATCATCCAGCTTTGGCAAATGGGAAAAACAGTACTCTTACGAGCATAAATTCAAATTTTAGTATGCTGTATTCAAAATTAATACAGCATACTAAACCTTATATTTGCCCCATATAAAAACAAACTTTCTTTTTAAAGACATTAGCGAGTTCTTTCTGTATTCAGATCCTATTTTATTAAATATCATGCAACTGAAAAGGCATTGATAAGCACACCTAAGACTGCTGATAAGAGATGGATGGATGGATGGATGGATGGATGGATGGATGGATGGATAGATAGATAGATAGATAGATAGATAGATAGATAGACAGACAGACAGACAGACAGACAGACAGACAGACAGACAGCAGATCAGCATTATTGTCATGATACAGTTGGGGCTGCAAGGGACAGGATTCCTTAAAGCAGGGGTCTTCAAACTTAACAGATTTAAGACTTGTAGACTTCAACTCCCAGAATTCTTCCTCCAGTCATGTTAGCTCAGGAATTCTGGGAGTTGAAGTCCACAAGTCTTCAACTTGCCAAGTTTGAAGACCCTTGCCTTAAAGATACCTAGTGAGTTCCTAGTGATAAATGGGGTAAGAATTCTTAAAGATACCTAGTTATACCTAGTGATAAATGAGGTAAGAATCCTCTGGAATACAACCAACACCTTCAGGTAATATACAGCAGGGGTCCCCAACCACTGGTCCGCGGACCGGTACCGGTCCGTGGAACAAATCCTACCGGGCCGCTGGCTTGCTGGGCACCGCCATCTTGTTTTGATGAAAAAGTGCTTCCGGTGAGCTTTTCCGGGTAGAAAGCTCACCGGAAGCACTTTTTCATCAAAACAAGATGGCGGCGCCAAGCGCTTCCGGTGAGCTTTTCCGGGTAGAAAGCCATTTCTACCCGGAAAAGCTCACTGGAAGCGCTGGGTGCCGCCACCTTGTTTTGATGAAAAAGTGCTTCCGGTGAGCTCACCGGAAGCACTTTTTCATCAAAACAAGATGGCGGCACCCAGCTGATGCCGGTACCGGGCCGCGGCATAAAAAAGGTTGGGGACCACTGATATACAGCATCCACTTCAATTCTTCAACTTTGTATAACAATTTTTATCTGTGAGCAGTGCTAGGATTACAAATATCACCTTGGTATTGTGGATGATAATGTGGAATAATGTTTACAATAGTATGAGTGAAAAAGTTATAGCAATATTGAGCTGAATCTAACATATGGAAATTCATAGACAAAGCATGATAACTGTTCAAGAACAGGGCAAAAAGTGTTGTTGCATAGCATGCTCTCAATTGATTAGACAGAAAATGAATGTAAGGTAGTACTTTTTAAAAAATCAAGTATTTATATTTGCAAAATATTTTTTATTAAGCCATTCAGTGACTTAACAAGTATGAAGAAGAAATAGAAGTCAAAGCATGCATTTATACACAGTCACACACAGGAAAGCAGATACCTGGCATCTCTATGATGGTAGTCAATGGATTGAGTGTGATGGGACCAAGGCAGAGTGAGATAATGACTGAAAGCATAGCAGAAACAAAAATAAAATTGTAAGACAATAAAATTAAGATAGAGTAACATATATAGATATATATCATAAAATAGGTCTAAGCACACAAGCACAAAGGTGTAATTTTTATACAGGAAAAAAAACTTCATAAAAGATACATTAATGTGCTTCTCCTGATGCAATA